AGATTTTAAAAGGTTAAAAATGTAATTTTTCAATTATTAGGGGTGTGAGGGCTATATTTTTAATAGGAGGGGGAGGGAAAGCGAAATGGCCATTTTTGCAAACTCTGGCTGTTCCCCAACGGTCATTTCTCAATTTAACCGTTGGGAACGGTCCAATTAAATTTTAAAAAAATTCCAACGGTAACCAGGCTGATAACGGGCTGCAGCCCGTGTTCAACCCGTTAAGCGATATCGGGTTAAGCGGGTTAGGTGCACTGTTAAGCTGATCGTGAACGTCCACAATCCACCCCCCTAACCAACCCTTCCCAACCCGCCCAATAGTGAACAGTAGCGAGCTGAACCGGGCTGATCCGGGTTGAAGCGGGCTAAAAACGGGTCATCCGACCCGATTAATAGGCTTAGGTTGTATACAAAGTTTGAAGTCATTCGATGGAGTTTTGGACTAGTTTTGAAAAAGAATTTGTCACGATCCCAGTTCGCCCTCCGTGAACCATCGTGACGGCACCGAGTCTCTACGACTAGGTAAGCCTAAATTGCGAAAGATAACCAAAACTTGCGGAAGTAAAACAATTTTTAAAGCAGAAATAAGGCAATAACAGTGTTTAAATGTGCCACTCGATATACGCCATATATAAATCTCGAAACCAATATCCAAATCCAAGACCCAAAAACCCACGAATCACAATCTAAGAAAAAAAAAGAAATACTACATAGTTCTAACTCCGGAATGTCTAACAAAAACAAAAGTACAAAAAGGCTAAATACTAAAATGCAGGAATAGAAAGAGACTCTTCGGTCTGCGAACGCAGCAGATATATCTCGAAGTCCCGTAGAATTGCCTCGCCTTAAGAATGGTAAGCCTGAGTAGAGGTATCTAGATCTGCACATGAAAAACATGCGCAGAAGAGGCATGAGTACACCACAGCGGTACTCAGTAAGTGCCAAAGCCTAACCTCGATTGGGTAGTGACGAGGAAGGTCAGGGCCCTACTGAGATTAGATAAATATAAAGATGATAGGATAAGATAAGCAGTACAATTGAGAATCTACAATAAGAATCTACACAGGATAATAAGAGCACAATAACAGAAACAGAAATGAAGGCAAACCACAAGGAAAGTAACCGGGGATCTCTCAGTATCCCGAGGATCTCTTAGTATCCTCAACATGTACTAGGGATCTCTTAGTATCCCGGGGATCTCTCGGTATCCTCAATATATGCTAGGGATCTCTTGGTATCCCGATGATCACTCGATATCCTCAATATATGCTAGGGATCTCTTGGTATCCCGAGGATCTCTTGGTATCCTCAATATATGCTAGGGATCTCTTGGTATCCCGAGGATCTCTTGGTATCCTCAATATACGTGTCAGGGATCTCTTGGTATCCCGCGCCTCAGTCCAGATCATAAATACGTATAGGGGATCTCCCGAGATGTCGTTTTTTATTCCCAAATTAAAAAAAAACACATAGAAGCAACCCAAGAATACTCAATAAAATGCAAATTTCGTACAAAGTAAACAGTTAATTCTAGCCTAACATGTTTCACGTAATGCAATTAAAGCAGTTTAAGCAAATAGGCAATTAAGTCAACTAAACATGCTTTTCTAAACTACAACAGGCTGAATTCGCAAGTAGATAAAGCAGGAAAAAAGAACTCAATTGAAATACTTAAAGTAAACTGGATTTTCAACAATTAGCTCAAGTACGCACTCGTCACCTCACGTACAAGGCATTTCGATTACAAAATATATCATATCCTAAGGGGAAGGTACCCTACACAAGGTTAGACAAGCCACTTACCTCGAACCGGCTCAAAATCAACCCAACATCACGTCTTTGCCACGAGTACTCGACTCTAAATAGTCCAAATCTATTCAATTCAATTGCATAATATAAATAACACTTCAAGTAACTGATACTATGAAGAAATTCTAAGCTAATACACAAAATTAGGTAAAATGACCAAAATTCCCCTCGAGCCCACGTCTCGGAATCGGGTAAAATTTATATTTTCAGAATCCTCATACCCTCACGAGTCTAACCATACCAAAATTATCCAATTCCGATACCATTTGGTCCTTCAAATCATCATTTTATATTTTTGAAAGATTTCACAAATTTTCTTCCCAAATTCCATCACAAATTACGAATTAAATGATGAATTCAATGATGGATTCATGTACTCTAGCCAAATCTGAGTTAGAACCACTTACCCCGATGAATTTCTTGAAAAACCTTTAAAAAATCGCCAAAATCCGAGCTCTCTAGGTCAAAATATGAAACAAAACCCAAAACCTCGTATTTATAGGACACCCTACGGATTTCCCCCACTGTGGACCGCACAAAAATGAGTGATGTCCGCACAAAACCTGTGCGGTCCGCACAAAAATGACTGTTGTCCGCATAGGTTTTGACTGCAGTGACAAGCTTTAATATTTTGGCCATAACTTTCTCTATAGATGTCCAAATTGTGATTTCTTTACCCTTTTGGAAACTAGACACGAAGGGCTACAACTTACGTTTTTGAATCATCCCAACATTCCTTGTAGATCAAAAGATATGAGTTTCCGAAGTAGGACCAGTGAAATTTTCCTCACCGCGGACCGGACTGCATTTTGTGCGGCTGTACAGGCCCCACCGCGGACGCACTGGACTTTGTGCGGACCACACTGGTGGGTTCCTAGGCCTGCAACTCTTCTGGACCTGCAACAGCTATGATTTTCGGCCTAAAACATCCCGAAACTCACCCGAGTCCCCGGGACTTCAAACCAATTGTACCAACACATTCCATGACATCGTTCAAACTTGTTCAAAACTTCGAAACACTCACAACAACATCAAATCACCAATTTAACATAGGATTCAAGCCTAAGAACTCCAAGAACTCTTAACTTATGCTTTCGATCAAAAAGTCTATCAAATCTCGTCCAAACGACCTGAAATTTTGCAAACACATCACATTCAACACTACGGAGCTACTCCAATTTTCAGAATTTCATTCCGACCCTTAGATCAAAATCTCACTATCGGATCGGAAACTTCAAAAATTCGACTCTCGCAATTTCAAGCCTAAATTAGCTACGGACCTCCAACACACAATCTGATCACGCCCCTAAGCCCGAAATCACCCAACGGAGCTAACAGAACCGTCAGATTTACATTCCGATGCCGTCTTCATACTGTTCCGACTACGGTCAACTTCCCAACACTTAAGCTCTCATTCTGGGGCTAAGTGTCCCAAAACTCTCCGAAACTCAAAATCGAACATTCCGGCAAATTAAAATAGCAGAAATAAACTTGGAAAATCAATTAATAGGGGATCGAAGCATTAATTCTTAAGATGACCGGTCGGGTCGTCACAGAATTGCAAGTGAAATCGTATAAGAAGTTCGTGAGAGATGTTTATACGACATTATACACTTTTATACAAAGAGGTACATTATGTATATAGTTGTATAAAAGTGTATAAAGATGTATAAGCACTATAAAAAAATATTCGTGATACCTATGTATATACGTGTAGAAGAGAATATGTGAGAAATTTACCAAATACATGTAAATAATGTATTATTGTGTATGAGAGTTGTTTATATACTATTATATATTATTTATACAATTTTATATATTATTATACAGATGAATCCTATCAATGGAGCGTCACATGTTTTTCTTCTTTGTTGGGGATCTTCTGAAATCAACTATACTTGACTGGAAAAACCAGTCAATCTACTCTCATTTTTTTGGTCTCCCCCCTGTAACCTGGTAAATCATAAGTTAACTCAAATCTAGCCTAAATCTTCTCCAAGTCACTTCAAATTTAAGTTTTGAACTCCTCTTGATTATTCCAATCAATTGGGACAACACCCAATCCAAACAACTAACAAATCAAATAACGCAATTTCTGAAATCGAAGCTTTGAAACACCTTTAATCGTGACTTCTATTTACCAAGTTTTTAATCAACAACTGGAATTAGAATTACACGTGGAATGAGGATAAGCCTGAGACCATGCCAATAACTTCTTTCTAGTTTGGTGATCCAACAACCGACCAAATGAATCTCTTTAGTGCAAACATTGTTCTTTCCACTCCATTGAAGGAAGTGATCTACATATGACTCCAAAAAACTAATTCTTTAATGTATTATTTTTTCTTCTTCATCCAGATAGTAATTATCCACTTTGAATCTGGAGGAGCGTTGATGGAGAATAATAATGATAGAGAAAGTTTAGGACACGAGGAGAAGAAGAACAGAGAAAAGAAAAAAAAATTAATTAAAAGGAGTGGGCTAATGTGTGAAAAGTAATTTTCATATTATATACAACTTGGGCTATATTGGGTAAGGGCTTCAAAGATGGACCATTTTTTATGAGCTATTGAGCCAAATGATAAGGAGTGTAATTCTCCTATAAAAATGCGATATTCAATATGAAAGTGGTTAGAGTTAAGTTCAGAATTCTCGTTCGAGTTTTGCGAAAGAAGCACTCAACCACTTGCACTAAAAAGGCAAGTTGATTCTCTAATAATAAAATTCATCCACTGTGGGGTTGTCATCAAATCAGGTCATGCAAAATGATAGAGCTGTATAGCTCTCTATATAATCATAAAGGAAAATGTTCAAAAATACCCTTTTTACTGTAAGAAAAGAAGAATTAAGTATATCTTCCGTATACTATTCATTCACTACTGCCCCACGTTACAAAATTAATACAAAATTACCCCTCTGCCGTTGAAGCCCTCTACCATGGCAACACCATCCTAAGTGAGTAAGTGGCATGACATTTCACTGAAGTGGATGGCATCTCACCCAGCGTCATTCTTCCACCTTATTCTTTATGTTTCATTACATAGTTCATGCCCCTTCCATTTTACCACCATTAATAAGCCTTTTTTTTTTTACCTTTCATTGTTGCAAATTTTTTATTAGATCTCACAAAAAATCATCTTTATCACCAATTTTTTCATCTCCAACCGTGAGCCAAAATTGGCAACGGACAGTGTGATCTTATCTCAAGTAGTATTAATAACTTACCAGTTACCACAAACCAAGCATGTTGATTTATCAGAAGAGAATGTGGACAAAGCATGTTTAAGCGTTTATAGGGCCATACAAAATAATTTTGATATTACGACGTGAAAGTACATACCAAAAGCTGTCATGCACTCTCGTTATTATTGAGCTAATAGCCGAATACTAGTCTAAAACATTACATTTCCCCTATAAACCTAATATAGTACTCCTACTTACCAAGTAGCCGACAAAGGTAACACTTTCCCGGTCACCGGAATTACGTACATGCCGGCAACGGGGAGCCACAAAGGCATTTATTAGGCAAATAAGAGTAAACGTCAAAGCTCTGCAACTTCCCACCTTGTGGAATCTGTCCACAGAGCCTATTATAACTCACATTCAAATTCTGTAACTCTAAATTTTTCAATCCTTCTGGTAAGCTACCAAAAATCCGATTATGGTTCAAATCCAACCACGTTAAACTTTCCGGGAACTCCACTTTCGAAAGATCAAACTCTAATGTATTCCTCGACAAATCAATTAACCTAATTTTCTTGTTCTTTCCAAACAAGAAAGAAACATCACCTTCTAACTTGTTCCTGGAGAAATCAAGTGTTGTAAATTTCAAATTGCCTAAAGATTTTGGTACTGGTCCAGTGAGGCTGTTATGTGAAAGGTAAAGAGTTTGGATTTGTCCTCTGAATTTTCCGAATGATTCTGGAATTTGTCCAGTGAGTTTATTGCGGTCTAAGTAGATTTCTGATAAATTAGGGAGTTCAGAAAGTGATGGTGGGATTGTTCCGGTGAATTGGTTGTAGTTTAATTCAAGAAAAGTTAAATTCTTGAGTTGGCTAATAAATTCAGGAATAGGGCCACTGAGATTAGTGAAACTGAGTCTTAACTCTTTCAGATTTGTGAGCTTTGTAATAGTTGGGGGAATGGTTCCTGTAAGATTTGTGATATGATGGAATTGTAAGGTTTGGAGAAAAGGGAGATCGCCGACGGCGGCCGGAATTTGGCCGGAGATGTTGGCTTGGAAGACGGTGAGAGCATTAATCCGGTTGGTTTTCCGGTCACATTGTACGACGTACCAATCACAGCAATCTGTGTTGGGATCCCATGAGGCTAAATGGTAGGGATTACCTAAGTCATTCTTGATTTTTAGAAGGACTTTTTTATCGTTCGGATTGCATCTCACTGAGTGAGAAGGGAAGGGAAAAGAAAGGAAAAGGAAGAGAGAAAGGTAAAGAATGGGAAGAAAATTGGAGTTCATTTTCTTCTGTTATTGCATGAAATTGTGGAGTTCAAATATTGCTATTTATAGAGATTTTGTTGCTTGTGATTTCCTGTCTCGATCTAAATGGGAAGTGAAGGAGAGTTAGTTACATATGTGATGAGGATGTTATATGTTTAAACGTGAAAACAATTACGTGTAGAAAAATGTGGTTCCCTTTTTATCAAAATGTGAAGAGAGGAGGGATTTTTGAGAGGGTTGAAACAATCTCTTAGAGAAATACAGGGTAAGATTGCGTATAATAGTTCTGGAACTCTATATATAGTGAAAGTTTAGTGCAACGAGGTATTTTTTTACTTGACGAACGTGATACTCCGTGTCCCATATTACTTGTCAACTTTATCTTTTACATGCCAATTAAAAAATTATAAATAAGAAGGATATTTTTAATAATCTATCCTTCAAACCCTTTTTTATACACTATTTATGTGGCCTCAATCTAATCAACTCAAATTAATGAAGTGTATCCAGATCATTTATCCAAAAATTCTCATTAATGGAGTAGCATAGAGCATATGAACAGACCATCAAAACTGGATTTTTCGTTGCACTAATAACCCTTTCCTCCAAAATTTTCAAATTAATTTGAAAACGTTTCAACGTGAAAACCTTTTGGAGCCGTAAATTTCTACATGAAAATTGCTTGAATCCTATATGAAAATGAAACTATATACTGTCGAAATCAGGTATGCCCGATTTTACGGGCTCGAGAGATTGCCTTAAGCCCGAGTTTAGGATGAGTCGAGTTTGAGCTTGATAGACCAGGCTCGAGCCCGGTGATAGAGTACAAGGCATGAGTATCGAAGTACGCAATGAGTTTCGAAGCCGAGTATACCCAACCTCGAGATAATGTCGTTATGAATTTATAATAGAATGAGCAAGATTCCTGCCACAACCCCAAGATCGTGGCGTAAATCCTGGAATACGAATCTGTACTAGGCGGTTAGACAACTGTCCCAATAAGATTCTTTACTGTAAATAGAAATGTACCTTATTTAGGGTTCCCCTATTATATAAAGGGGACCCCAATCATTTGTAAACATCATCGATTATTGACAAAGAATATACTCTCTTACTTTTTGGCTCATATTTCATCAGAATTGTCTCTTTACTTAATTGTTCTTGCTTTACTGTTCTTGACCAACCTCGAGGCCACCTTAGCTCAAGGTCGAGACTCTCTTGCACACTGGTTTGATTCTACCTATTTCCTTTATTTATACGTTAGACTTCTTGGTTATTAATTAATATTGAACTAAATCACGTATCTTTAAACACATAAATCAAGTTTATTTATTACTTGTATTTTCGAGGTAAACATAAAAAAGCCTAAGGGATATTTTCATTTCGAGTTCGAGCAAGTACTCACTCGACTACTAAGCCCAAGTGCTACCCGAGTTCGAGAAAATTCTCACTCGGGGACTATCTATGAAGCCTAAAGGCTAACTCTACTTCGAGTTCGAGCAAATCCTCACTCGATCATAAAAGCCCAAGGGCTATCTTAACCCGAGTTCGAGCAAACCCTCACTCGGGGACTATCCATAAAGCCTAAGGGCTAATTTTACTTCGAGTTCGAGCAAATCCTCACTCGGCTATAAAGCCTAGGAGCTATTTTTATTTCGAGTTCGAGCAAGTAAAACTCGACTACTAAGCCCAAGGACTACCCGAGTTCGAGAAAATTCTCACTCTTGGACTATCTACGAAGCCTAAGGGCTAACTCTAATTCGAGTTCGAGCAACCTCACTCGATCATAAAAGCCCAAGGGCTATCTTAACCCGAGTTCGAGCAAACTCTCACTCGGGGACTATCCATAAAGCCTAAGGACTAACTTTACTTCGAGTTGGAGCAAATCCTCACTCGACTATAAAGCCTAAAGGGCTATTTTCATTTCGAGTTTGAGCAAGTACTCACTCAACTACTAAGCCCAAGGGCTACCCGAGTTCGAGAAAATTCTCACTCGGGGACTATCTTTCAACTCAAGTTCGAGCAAGTCCTCACTTTGTCATAAGGCCTAAGGGTTATTTTCATTTCGAGTTTGAGCGTGCACTCACTCAACTATCAAGCCCAAGGGTTGCCTTACCTCATCGAATGTTGAGCCTAAGAGCTACTCAAACTCACGTTCGAATGGTCATTGGGGGTCCATTGATCAGAAACGTTCGAGGGCAGAACTTATTGTCAGTCATTACCATCTCAAACTTTGGAAATTCAAAATGAATTTGATGCTAAGGCGCTTTGACCCGCATAAAAGGGTAACAGATTCAGAAGCCATGGAAGGAAAAAGACTTTGTATAAACCTTTTTACAAGAGCTATAGATCACGGTCAAGAGTTCCTCGCACGGGCCGATCAACCTCAAAAGAAAAAAAATTACTAAGAGCACGCAACCTATGTAGCGCGGTCCTTATAGGCATAAGTGTCTTCGCCCTCGGAATCTTCTCCGCCGCCAGACTCGTTAAAGTTCTCGGAGTCTTCCTTGGGAAAGGACAGCTTCCAAGCTTTTGTTTCCTCAGTCGCTTACTGTCACAATGATGATGTCATGGAAAATAGAGGTAAATATCAAGGACTCAATTCGTTTCTTGTCGTTATGCTCTAAAAAATGCGGGGACTATCTATATAAGGTCGAAATCAGGTATGCCCAATTTCACGGGCTCGAGGGGTTGCCTTAAGGCCGAGTTCAGGATGAGCCGAGTTCGAGCTTGATGGACCAAGCTCGAGCCCGATGATAGAGTACAAGGCCCGATGATCGAAGTATGCGATGAGTTTCGAAGCCGAGTATACCCAACCTCAAGATAATGTCGTTATGGATTTATAACAGAATGAGCAAGATTCCTGCCACATCCCCAAGATCATGGAATAAATCTTGGAATAGATTTGTACGAATCCGTGCTAGGCGGTTAGTCAGCTGTCCCAATAAGATTTTTTACTGTAAATAGAAATGTACCTTATTTAGGGTTCTCCTATTATATAAAGGGGACCCCAATCATTTGTAAACATCATCAATTATTGGCAAAGAATATACTCTCTTACTTTTTGGCTCATATTTCATCAGAATTGTCTCTTTACTTAATTGTTCTTACTTTATTGTACTTGACCAACCTCGAGGCCACCTTAGCTCGAGGTCGAGACTGTCTTGCACACTGGTTTGATTCTACCTATTTCCTTCATTTATACGTTAGCCTTCTTGGTTATTAATTAGTATTGAACTAAATCACGTATCTTTAAACCTATAAATCAAGTTTAATTGTTACTCGTATTTTCGAGGTAAACAAATTTCCCGCCTAAAATTCCTTGTAAAAAGAATGATAGATCTGCTTAAACTATAAAATAAATGAAGGTTTGACTTAAATGGTGAACAATGGAGCACCACTCCAATAAATGGATTTGTCAGATTTGTTTTTTCTATTAATGGTGAAGGTGCGCCACAGCGAATCTTCTTGTAATATTAACATCCCCAAACAGATGGATCATTAAGTGTAATTTGTGAAGAAGGCGCGCTGAGTAATTGCAACTTCAGTGTTATTTTTAAAATCAACTAAAGGTGTGATTAACTGACATGCCTTCCTTATATTTTGTATTTACACAGAAGGCTCAATAGGCTGACGCGCCTCAGTTGAATTAAAGATTCTAACGCTGATTTGACTTCTGGCGCTATAGCTTTACGAAGACTCATTATCAGATTGCGCCTTTCGTGAAAAATAGAAGGTTTGCGTGTTGAATGCGCCTTTTGTTGAAAAAAACATGCTAGAATACATGCATTTGGATTCTATATATACCGATCTTATTTCATGATATGCATGCTGTGTTTGAATATATCGAATTTTGTTAAAAGGTTATTATTATTTTCATAGTTTGTAATCTAATTGCTAAATGTTGATATTATTTACTGATTATAATTGCTACTTCTGTAGATTTTAAAATGTCAACTAATCAGCATGTAAAGGTTGTGATGTACCGTGAGGCTACAATCACGCTACATGATATTGTTGTATTGTAAGGGTTACCTATTGACGGAGATCTTGTGACAGGGTTGGATGATACTAAGGCTGCTGAAGAATGGTGTTCCTCGATGATGACACTTCTTGGTTGGGCACCGAACGATACTGAATTGCAGGGGGGCAGGCATAGAATGTCATCATTGATTGGACATATAAAGTTACTTGATCCGATTATCGATGTTACCCCTGAGTATGAAGTCCAGCAGCGGGTCCATTCATATATGATGTGGATCATTGGAGGCCTACTTGCAGTTGATACATCAAGTAACAAGGTTAAGTTTGATGTATCTACCATTTCTTCAAGACCTGGACAATGTTGGGCGATACGCTTGGGGAGCAGCCACACTGGCTATACTATATAGATTTCTTTATCGTGCTTCATAGTGTAGGACTAGCACCATCGGTGAATATTTGCCTTTACTTTAGGTAATGAAATTAAATTATTCATTTATCGGTCATAGTTTTAAATATATATTTATTTTTAATTATGGCATGAAGGTATGGATATACGAGAGGAATTTTCCCTTCAAGCTGCAGTTGAGAGAGCCGATCGTCCACATTGACCCTCCCCTACTGCAAGCTCATAGATGGAAGACCTTATTGTGCTGTGATATAGTAGCAACACATCTGCTATATTTATTTCGTGATCAGTTAGATGCAATAGTGGTGCAACAGGTACTAAGCCGTTTGGTTTATTTGGTTTTTATTTACTCTGTGGATTAATTATGTATTGTTTGTTATTTATTATTACTTTTTGATACAATTCTCATGGATGCCATATACCACTGAGATTATGGCTACCATACCAGAATATTGCCTGACTGGTAAGACTTATGGCGTACTGTTGTACCTCTTATATGCTGGGATGCGGTTAAATGGCACTATCCAAACAGGGTGATGCATCAGTTTGGTTTAGTCCAGTTCATCCCTAGGCCTATACAATGGGATTACAGACACTTTCAGATGGACCGCAGGGGCCAGCCTAACTTTGATTAGCAAAATTCTATTTCACTGAGGTACTACTATGGGATAGCAGATGAAGTTACATTGCGACATCAGAGGTCCGAAGAGGGAATGAGGATGACATAGTATATACACAGTGGTATAATATTATTACATGTCACCTTGTCGGGCATCCCGATCACCAGTTCACACAGGGATATCAGACCTTTGTCGGAAAGAGTTAAGTTCTGGTATGTTTTATTTTATTTTATCGAAATTCACATGTTAAGTGTTTATATTTTAAATTAATATTGTTACCTAGGCTCGTGGCCTACACCACATACACAGGAGATCGTTG